TTGTGGATGACCACTCCCGCTATGTCTCTGTTCACCTCCTCCACACCAAGGCTGAGGCCCCAGAGGTCATCATGGCGTGGGTCAAGCAGGCACAGACCGCCTTTGACCGCAAGGTCAAGTGCCTTCACTCGGATGGGGGGGGTGAATTTTGCAACGACAAACTCAAAGCCTTCTGCTCCTCGGAAGGCATCCAGCAAAACTTCACCCTTCCTAACAGCCCGCAGCAGAACGGCATAGCAGAGAGCCGCAACCACACCCTGGTGCAGATCACTCGGTGCCTCCTTAGCCATTCCAACACTCCACTCTCTCTCTGGGGGTACGCCCTCTGCCATGCCGCCCTCCTTTATAATCTTTACCCCCATCCGCTTCTTCCCGACACCACTCCAACCACACTTTGGCTCGGGAAAACACCCACTGCTCGCTCTCTTCGCGTCTGGGGGTGCACCGCCTATGTCCTCCTCAACCCTCAGGCCAGGCGACGGCGCGGTGGCAAACTCGGTCCCAAGACTCAAACGTGCATCTACCTTGGGCACAACGCTGACTCCCCTGACTATCTGTTCCTCAACCCCTCCACTCAACAGTTAGTCCGGAGCTGCGACGTTGTCTTTGATGAACTCCGCCCATTCTACTCCACCTCGGGACCGGATCCCCCTTCCGATCCCCCCTCCCTCGTGTGGGCGGACTTTGATGCGCACCCTGACCCCCCCACCTGCGCCGGCCCCTTCACCACCTCCCTCCCATGCCATCGCACCCTCCCCCTCAGAGATCTCTGACCCGACCTTGCCGGTGTCTTCGGCGGCTGCCCCTCCATCCCCCTCACCTCCCACTCTACCGACTGTGCTGCCACCTCCGAGCGCACCTATCACTTACCATCGGCGCTCACACCCTCCGGCCCCACATCCTCCCCCAGTTCCCCCTACCACTGAGGAACCCACTCTCCCACAGTCGCCCGAGCTGATCACGTACCACCGGCGGCCCATTCCCCCGCCCAAGCCTCCTAAGTCAACCCCTCCGACACCGCCTGCCCCACCCTCTTCTCCGGTGGCTCATGGCACTCGTTCGCATGGCGCTGCTCTTCGATCTGCACTGATTCTTCGATGCACAGTGATCACACCGCCTCCTCCTGCTGGGGGGGATGTGCCCTCTACCCTTCTGGAAGACAGGCATGAGGAGCTGTGTGATCTTCATGCAGTCATTCCTCAGCTCTCGCACATCTTCCCCGACATCACTGAATCACCCTCACTCAACTTCGCGGAGAACCCGACCATCCCTGTCCCTCTCTCCGTCCAAGAGGCTCTCTCAGGTCCCCATGCAGCCGAATGGCGTGCTTCCATGGAAGCAGAGATTGAAGCGTTCACCCGCAACCACTCCTTCGACAACGAGACTCCACCTCCAGGAGTCAACATCGTCGGAGGCAAGTGGTTGTTTCGTGTGAAACAGCTCCCTGACGAGACCCCAGTGTTCAAAGCGCGTTACGTAACCAAGGGTTTCACCCAACAGCAGTACCACGACTTCTTCAAGACCTTCTCCCCCACATCCAAACCTCCCACTATTCGCACGCTCATGGATGTCGCAGCACAAGAAGACTTTGAGATCAAATCCATGGACGCTTCATCAGCTTTCCTACAAGGACACCTCAAGGAGACAGTGTTCATAGACAGACCTGAAGGTTTCCCAGGAGAATTCCCTCCCAACACTGTCTGGAAGTTGAATCGCCCCGTCAACGGCCTTAAGCAAGCTCCTCGCGAATGGCACAACAGGGTGAAAGAAGTCCTTCTCTCCCTGGACTTCCACGCCTCGTCTGCTGACCCGACTCTCTTCATTCGCCGTCATTCTGAGCCATTCTACATCCTTTTCTACGTCGATGACTTCATCCTCGTTGCGAAGGACTCGGCCCAGATGACCTCTGTCCAGGCGGCCCTGAGCAAGGCCCTCCCGATGAAAGACCTCAGTGACCTCAAGCACTACTTGGGGATGGAGATCACACGTGATCGCGAGGCTCGCACCATTTCACTCTCCCAGGAGTTCTACATAAACAATGTGCTCAAGCGGTTTGAGATGGAGCTGTGCACACCTGTTGCCACACCGCTGCCGCTGCAACACCTCCTCATGGCCCCAGCTGTATCCACACCAGAGGCCTGCTCTGAGCCATACCCGGAGCTTGTTGGGTCCCTCATGTACGCCATGATGTGCACCCGGCCTGACTTGGCTCATCCTGTCAATGTCCTCTCTCGCTACTTGGCCCCTGGGCGCTTCACTGATCTTCACTGGAAGGCAGCGAAGCGAGCACTGCGTTATCTCCAGGGCACCAAGTCTCACGTTCTCACACTCGGTGGGCTCTCCCCTCCTCGGCTAGAAGGTTACACTAACTCCTCTTGGGCCGATGACCAGACCGACCGACGCTCGTCTTAGGGGTACTGCTTCACCCTTGGGAGCGGAATTGTTAGTTGGCGCTCCACCAGGTCGTCAGCAGTTTCCCTCTCCTCCTGTGGGCAGAGCTCTACGCTGGCACCATGGCTGCTCAAGAGGCCCGGTGGCTCACCTTCCTATCCAGGAGCTTGGCTACCCTCAGTCCACTCCCACCCTCTGGTGTGACAACCAGAGTACTATCCACCTCTCCCAAGACCCTGTGTATCACACTCGCACCAAGCACATCGAACTTCGGCATTTCTTCATCCGTGACCTTGTCCAGCGGGAGCAGCTGAACGTGGAGTACGTTGCATCTGACTGCAACCTGGCTGACCTGTTCACCAAGCCCCTTGGAAAAGTTCCTCACCACCGTCTCCTTGGCGCCATGGGGCTCTGTGCTCCACCTTCTCTGCCCTAAGTTCGATTGATGCCTATGGGGGGGTGTTAGTGTTAGCCGTCAATCTCACACTTTGTACTTTGTATTTTCTATATCCTATAGTAGTGTAGTTTGCACTTTGTGTTTGGTTGGGTGTACACCTACATCCCAACCAAACCCAAATGTAATCTCCAAGCAATCTCCAACCCACCAATTGGAGATTGCCTTGGGATTACCCCCAATCCCTAGGGATTGCCCCCGATTCCCTTCCCATCCATTCCCTACTCTTCTTGGATGTACTTATAGAGCTTCAATCTCATTTCTAATGTATCGCTTTTAAGCCTAAGTTGTGACACCTCAAACCGATCTTCTAGGAGATCAGGGTGCTGAGAGGGAGAGAGACGAGTGAATAGAGCAGAGCGTTGAAAGTTGGACATCGCACGGGTCATGGAGCGAGTGAGGCGTGGAGAGGGTGGGGGAATAGGGACTGAAGGAAGGGAAACAGCAGTAGGGGATGATGGAGAGGGCAAGCCGAACAGCAAGAGGCAAGAGGAGAGGTGCCAGAGGTGACAGCAGAAGGGGGGGCAGAAGGGGCAAGCGGAAGGGGAGGAGGAGGGGCGGGGGAGAGAGGATGTGGGGAGGGAGTAGTAGTGGGTAGCGGATCAAAGTCAGACCAATGGAGAGAGGGAGGAGGTGGGGTGAGGGGGGGGAGTGAGGAACGAAGAGCGAGTCTCGTCAAATATGACATCCTGGCTGCGGATGAGCTGCTGGGAGGAGGGAGCGTAGAAGAGATAGCCAGGACAATTGGAGTTGATACTAATGAATGCACAGAGTTGTGTCTTGAGAGCGAGTTTCCCACCCTGACGTGCCCGATCAGCAGGATTGACGAGGACATGAGCGACACAGCCCCATACCCGAAGAGGCGAGCAGAGGGCTGGCGGCCAGTCCACAGCTGAAAAGGGGAAATGGAGGGGCGAAGAGAATGGGGGCGAAGGTTAGAAAGAAGAGTGGCGTGAACGAGAGCATGGCTCCAAAGAGAATGTGGAGCAGAAGCATGGGTGAGAAGGCAGCGAGTGATTTCCATGAGAGTGCGAATGCGACGTTCAGCAACACCATTCTGTTCAGGAGAGTGTGGAAGGGTTGAAGTGTGGCGAATGCCATGAGTGGAACTGTAAGAGGAGAGAGAGTGGTTAAAGAACTCGCCACCACTGTCAGAGTGGAAGCGCGCGACAGGACGCCCGAAGCGAAGGCGAGCCTGCTCAGCCCAGCGAATGATGAGGGAAGGGGCGTCAGATTTGGCAGCGAGGAGATAGACAGTGGCAAAACGAGAATGGTCATCAACGAGAAGGAGAAAGTAACGATGACCCTGTCGAGATGCGATTGGGGAGGGGCCCTAGAGGTCCATAGGCACGATATCAAGAGGCTGGAAGAGGCAGAGGGGGGAGAGGGATGAGGAGATTGAGAGAGCTTGGCTTGAACACAGGGAGTGCAAGGAGGGGCGGGAGAGGGGGGAAGGGGCGAGAGAGAAGAAGGCAGATCATGAAGCAGCTTCGTATTGACCATGCTACGAAGAAGAGGGAAGTTGCGCTCTCTGCACTCACCGCATGCATGTCGCAGCAGCCACCGGATTGAAAGGTGCTGCTGGTGAAATGGCTGGGTGAGGCGGAGCGCAAGAAGATGATGGGCGGAGCTGCACGGGCAGAGCGGGCAGCGGCGAGCTCCAGCGAGCGCATGACTGCCAGCAGTGCCTGCCTGCATAGAAGGGGCGTTGACTCTCCGACAACATGAAGGGGCGGGCGGTGGGGGAGGTCTGCACAGCCTGCTGGTTGGCCCTAAGGCTGTGTGGAGGGGGGAGATGGGTGGAGCGATTGGGGATTGAAAAGCGGGGATGAGGAGTGTAGGAAGGGCGGAAACCGAGGGTGCGTGTCGATTGAAACAAAAACCGAGGCTGGCTGCCCTTCTGCGTGCGTGCCTCGCCTCGTACGCACCTGCTGGCAGTGCAGTGGTTGGCAGTGCTGAGCACAACCACGTCCAGGCGCCATAGGTGCTGCAGCAGCCACTCGTCTGCCTCATACACCCGAACCACCCGCTGGTACTGCCTCCTCCCCGCCCTCACTTGCCGCCGCCCCTGCCCGCCCTCCTCCCTCCCCTCCTCCACACTCTCCCCCTTACTCCCCTCTTCCTTCTTCTCATCCTCCCCCCCCTCCTCCTCCTCTTATCCCTCTTCCTCCACGGGCACAGCAGCGGGCAGCACCTCCTCACGGAACAGCAGGTTGGAGGTGCGCTGCAGCGGAGTGGTTTTGCTACCAGGCAGCCACACAGCCGCGCCCCTGGCAGTGCTGCGCACAGGCGCACCCCACGTGAGGTTGAAGCGCCACCCCACATCCACCACCCGCCTTGCCCGCCCGCCCTGCCCTCGTTGACTTTCATTGAGCGGGCGGGTGTGGTTGGGGGGCAGCACTCGGGGGTGTGGGGCGAGCAGGCAGAGCAGCGAGAGGAACTGCTGGCGGCTGAGCAAGTCGCCCACCAATGCTACCATGCGGTGCTGCATACTGCTCACGCATGGGGCGTGGAGGGGGGAGGAAGTGGGGAAAGAGTGGAAAGAGGGGAGGAAAGGAGGAAGAGAGGAGGTGAGATGTTTTGTGGCGTGGCAAGTGAGACAGTGCATGGTACCGACAGTTGCCAGTGAAGGTTCTAGACGTTGCATTGTGGCGGCGCAGGGAGCGAGCAACGATAGCAGAGGTGCTACGGCTTTGCTCGCGGCTGGAAGTCAGAGGCGTTGAAGGCAGGCACGTCGCACCCATCGGGCTGCCACCGATACTCCTCAAACGCAAACTCCCGACTCATGCCCTCCCGCTCCCCCTCCCATTCCTCCCGCTCCTCCTTCCCCCCAACCTCCTTGCCCTGATGTTTGACCTTTCTGCTGCGTCGCACGGCCTGCTCTCCTTGCTGTGTTGTCCCTTCATTCGTCCCAGCACCACTCGTGTGCACCGCACTAACCCCCACACCTCTCTCTGCCTCCTCCTCTTCCCCTTCCTCTTGTAGCCGTCGCCTGTGCTGCATATTTTCTTCGGGTTCGGCATTTTGCTTCCTCCGGCCATCTCCCACCACTGGCCGTTGCATGCGGCGGCTGTTGAATTTCTCCCACATGCAATGCGATATCCAGAAGCACTCCCCACCGTGGTAATAGCGAGAAACGGGTGTTCTCCCATCCCTGACCCATCGACCCTGGTACAAGTGACAGTATGGGGAAGTCCCAGAGCGCTGGATCAAATGAGTATCATGAAGTGGCCTCTCGGATTCTAGCTGCTGTTGCTCACTCTCGGCTTCGAATGTGAATTCAAGTGATTTTAACCGGAAATTTTCTTCTAGCGAGAGATTGTCAAAGAGAGTATTCGGGGAATCCCCCCCCAGGAAGTTCTCTCCGGCCAGAAGGTCGTTCTGGCTGCTGCTGTCGTTGGCGATCAGCCAATAGGACGCGAGAACGACCGCTACCAGCAGCAACAGAAACCCTCGATTGCCGAGGATATCTGTTCGCGAAGGCATTTCGTACAAGCGCTGGTGAAATCCGCATAGATTCTCGCGGAAGGGAGTAGTGGTGCTGGGCAAGCGAGCCTCGTACTATCAGGCACGCATCGTGTCGGACGGCGAAGCAAGAGCGTCAGTCACTGTCTGCTGCTGCTGCTGCAGCCAGCACTGCGCGAGTGGCAGCGGGCTTTTGGTAAAGTCAGTGTGCAAGGAATGGTGGGCGTGAAACGAGATGACGATGCTCGCGACGCCAGCTAAGGAGCCTCGGTGGGCATGTGGAGGTATTGCGAATTCCCACAACCTACTCCTGCCATCCTTGCTATGGCTTGATTGTTTGGTATGCTTGGCAGCTTGCAACTGAGAGTACGAACGGATTATGATTGCAATACGACCTATATGAGAGAAAGCTGATACATATTGGTGCATCAAATACATTCAAAGAAATGTTTGTGCGAATCCACTGTACCCATGTATAAAAAAGGTACACTCTGCACAATCATCTGCGTACACCAACTTCTTTCGACAGCTGCTCTCACTTCCCCCTTTTCCCATCCACACCCTCGCATCTCATCCCCCTACGGTTTCCACGAGCTGCTTTCCCTCGAACCTCCTCAATTTGCTTCCCCTCTGCTCCCTCCTATTCCTCCCACCTCCATCTGCACGCGCGTCGTGATGGCTTTGGTGGACTACGAGCGCGTGGCACGGGCCGTGAAGGAGTGGCCCACGTGGGTGCTGCGGAAGGCCAAGGTTGCAGCGCAGTACGGCTTCGTGCCGCTCGTCATCACCGTCGGCATGCTCTACAACAAGCCGCAGCCGCACCTCCTGCAGCTCATCGGCCCTTAGACCGCCCTCTTATCGAATCAAGCCGTATATTTTGTGGGTACTCGAGGTTTCATCCGCTACCCCAAAGACAGGCCCGACATGCGGATCTCCTTGAAAGCGATATGCAGAGCCTCGTCGCGCGGGTCGAGGGATGCGGCCAAGTTATTCTCGCCTGTTCCGCAGCGGACTTAGCGGAACTCTAGAGCGTTCTGGTCAGGATCTTCGCATGCTTGCTGTTCCGTGCACGTTGTATGACGTTGGTTTGTGTTCCCTTAGATAGGTTCAGGTGCCTACTTCATTGGTTTTAGCTTAATCGTTGCTGTTTACCTGATTACTGTGAGCTTCCTTCCCTCTCCCTCTTGCATCCTCTCTCATCTTAGTAGCTAGTTCCTGTACATCGTGCTGTCCTTGGCCGATGACGGTATAAGGGGCAATTCAATGCATTGCTGGGGGCATTAGTGACGCTTTATTTAGCATCCCTCAAGCTGCTCTCTCAATTATTTATTTGATTCCATTTACATCAACGTATGACGGTTCAAATGATAGCCAATCAGTTGTATCCTTAGTGTACAAAGCTCACCCCGTCTTATCCTCGTAACCAAGGCGGCAGATTTCGATTTGCCATTCCAATTCTATCTCACTTTCGCTACCCATTGCTTTCGCCACTCTCCGCTGCCCGCATCTCGCTCGATATCGTCGTGCCTGATCCCGATATCGTGCCTCCTCTCGTTGGCACCCTAAGTGCTCTCCGCGTTCACCGCCTCCGCACCGCACGAATTATTAGCGATCGCGACAGGATGACTCGAGAGCTCGCTACCATCATCACAGCAACTGCCGCTCTTGTCGGTACCGGTCTGGACTACGAATGTGACGGAGAAGATTGCTTTTCTCTTTCTCACGCGAGGCCCGCTCCCTCTCGCGCTGCTGTGGGACCGATTCTTCCAGGTGGGTTTTGCCGCTCCCTCGCTCCCTCACGCTACCTCACGCGTGTCAGAGGTCCACTGGTGATCATCGATTGATCCTAGGGAAGGGTTACAGGCACGTTGGCCTGGGGGGTTATGGGTGCACTCACTCGCTACACAAACAAGCCCTTTTATCCCAGTGGTTAGTGGCTGGGATTCTGACATGGTATCAGAGCGAAGGTCTCGGGTTCGAATCCCAGTGTGTGCACTTCGGGCATCCCAGTGCGGGGGGGTGTCAGAGGTCCACTGGTGATCCTCGATTGATCCTAGGGAAGGGTTACAGGCACGTTGGCCTGGGGGGTTATGGGCGCACTCACTCGCTACACAAACAAGCCCTTTTATCCCAGTGGTTAGTGGCTGGGATTCTGACAACGCGTGCATACCGTGCTCTTAGGTGCACATTGGTGCGATTTACGCAATCCGCAAGCCTCGGATGTTGTAGCCTTCTCGCTATCTGAACACGGCCGCACGCCGCTCACTGTCTCACTCCCCTTGCCCCGCGCGCCTGCCCCCAGCAGGGCCACGAGGGGCGGGACTCCGTGTACGTGCACGCGTCCACCCCCGCCTTCGCCTTCCCGCCTGACTTCACCTTCCGAGTGGCGCTCATCCCAGGCGGCAAGGTGAGCCCACGTATGTAGTGCGGTGGGTCTTGGCGTGGCACATGGGCATAGAATCATCTGCATCAAATGTGTTGCTCCACGTAAACGTCAAGCACTGACGCAAATCCTTGAAAGTTGTGCTCTCCTTTTCTCCTTCCCATCCGGGCTTGCTCCCCGTGTGTGTCCCCCTGGGTGCGCGCAGGTGGCGTGGGGGACTTCTCAATGGTGGCGGCGGAGAGGAAGCTGCTCGCTGGCGCCTTCTTCGACCCTCTCAACGCCTTCTTCGCCCTCCTCTCCGACTCGTGAGCCCCCTCCGCCCCTCTCTCTCTCCTGAGGCCGCCCCACCCCTGGCTTGCAAACACATGTCACACAGGCAGCAAGGCATACGGATATGATTTGGTTTGTAGCAGGCAGTTTCAAGCAACACTTTAAACCGGAGTCGTGGCTGCGATGGTCATGCCAACCCCTTACCCCCCCTGGCATGCCATGGGAGCTGCATCCCCCTGTGGCCTTTCACCTTCATCTACAGCTACGTCGCCTCCGCCAACGTCAGTTTCCTTGTTGCGTGAGTGTGCTCCTTCTGCTCTGCCTCCTGATCCTCTGGTCTTGTTGCTGATACAATTGCAAAATCTTCAACTTGCCGCTCTTTCCCACTTGCCTGTCCTGCATTGCATCTGAAGAATAAAGATTAAGGTTCTGTGTTACTCCATGTGGTCACAGGCACCATGACAAGTACCGCATGGGGTTTCGGCGCTACGAGCGGCACATCTTCAGTCCGCTCATCTGCAAGGATAACTATGTGGGCGGCAGACAGGTGGGGCGAGGGGCAGTGCTAATGGCAGCATGTCACCCCTGCTGCAAGTGTGGGTGCATTGCTGCTTTGCACTCTGCTGCTGGCGCTCTTTTCCCATTGCCCAACGCGGCGCTCATGTGACGTGTGTGTCGTGCTGTGGTGTGTGCGGGGGCAGTGGTTTGTGCTGCGGAGGCGGCACGTGCAGATGATTACAAGGGACGCCGCCCACTACCTCACACACCAGAAGAGCTGCCAGGTGCGCACCGTCTCAGGTGAATGCTGTTCCAGGAGAATCTCGAGTGCTAAATATTTTGCTAGTGGTAATTGAGCACTTCACTCAAAGAGGAGTGGAAAAATAATAGGTGGTGCAGGGAGAGCAAGGAATAAGCTGCTCTTTTCATGATAGTTGGGCGGTTGTGAGTGCTGAGTGCGTGAGTGCTGCAGTGGTCGACTCAGACAATGGCATTCCCCCACTGCTCCCATGCGTGTGTGCAGTTCCGCATGAAGACTGGCAGCTGCTTCTGCTGTGCTGATGAGCATTACATCCAAGTGCTGCTGCATGTGAGTGGTGCTGCATGTGAGTGCTGCTGCATGTGAGTGCTGCAAAGAGAATGTATAGATTATTACTGCTGTATGCGCTGCTTTTGTACAATCACGCTCTACTACGTGTGGCTATTGTCAGAACATTATATAGCTTATGCTGTTGTGTAGGCTATAGTGGGGTATCCCATAAGGGGTACAACCCAATTAGGGTTTCCCATATGTACTCACTTCATTTATAGTTCAAACATTCTCGTTCTTATTTCACATGGAATCAGAGCAGGTCCCCTCCTAGGGACTGCTTCTAGGGCCCACCGAAGCGCGCCCCGAGGCGCGTTTTCCTTCTTTTTTTTAGCGACCCTCCGTGTCGCCCCTCGCGGCCCCGCCGCCCTCCCTTCGCGGCCCCGCCACTCTGCTCAAGCGGCCCTGCCGCCCTTCCTTCGCGGCCTCGCCGCCCTACTAACGCGGCCCCGCCGCCCTTCCTTCGCGGCCCCGCCGCCCTGCTCGCGCGGCCCAGCCGCCCTCTGCTTCGCGGCCCCGCCGCCCTGCTCACGCGGCCCCGCCGCCCTCTGCTAAGCGGCCCCGCCGCCCTGCTACAGCGGCCCAGCCGCCCTCACGTCGCGGCCCGCCCGCCCTCTGCTTCGCGGCCCCGCCGCCCTGCTCACGCGGCCCCGCCGCCCTGCTCACGCGGCCCCGCCGCCCTCTGCTAAGCGGCCCCGCCGCCCCACTACAGCGGCCCCGCCGCCCTCACGTCGCGGCCCGCCCGCTGCCCTACCTGCGGCCCGCCAGCCGCCCTACCTGCGGCCCGCCCGCCGCCCTAACTGCGGCCCGCCCGCCGCCCTACTTGCGGCCCTACCGCCGCCCTGCCTGCGGCCCGCCCGCCACCCTACCTGCGGCAAGCCCGCTGCCCTACCTACGGCCCCCCCCCGCCGCCCTACCTACGGCCCGCCCGCCGCCCTACCTGCGGCCCTACCGCCGCCCTACCTGCGGGAGCCGCCTAGCAGCAGAACCGCCGGGAGCCGAGCCGCCCTGCCGCCGAGCCGCCCGGGAGCCGAGCCGCCCTGCCGCCGAGCCGCCCTGCCGCCGAGCCGCCCGGGAGCCGAGCCGCACTGCCGCCGAGCCGCCCAACAGCCGAGCCGCCCAGCAGCCGAGCCGCCCTGCCGCCGAGCCGCTGAGCAGCCGAGCCGCCCTACTGCCGAGCCGCCCGACCTGCCCTGTCCGGTGAGCACAGCCCCACTGTCACTGCGTGCCCTTCCCCTACTGCTTGCACTGCTCGTCTGTCGTCGTCATGGCTACCCCTAGTGTCCTCGCTTTTGACGCTGAGGGTCGAGCCATTGACTTTGAGGTCTGGGTCGACGACCTGCAGCTGTTCTTACAGTGCGATAGGGCGGACGGTCTTTCCCTCTTTGACCTCACCTCTGGCGCCTCTCCTGCCCCTGCTACTGATGCTGACCCCACTGTTCGCTCTCAGTGGGCCACCCGCGATGCTGCTGCACGTCTTGCTGTGCGTCGCCACCTGCCTACCACTGAGCGCGCGCACTTTAGTCAGTACAAGAGTGCTCAGACCTTGTACGACGCTGTAGTTGCACGCTACTCTTCCCCTGCCACTGCTGCCCTGAGCCACCTCATGCTACCGTACCTCTTTCCTGACCTTACTGCCTTTCCCACTGTCGCTGACCTCATTACGCACCTCCGCACTAGTGACACTCGCTACCGCGCCGCCCTTCCTGCTGAGTTCTGCGCCAAGAACCCCCCCCCCATGTACATCACTCTCTATTACATAGTCACACGCCTCCCTGACTCCCTTCGCGTAGTCAGGGACCACTACCTCTCGGTCTGTCCCACCACTCTCACTGTCGACCTCCTCGAGAAGTCCCTCCTGGCGGCGGAGAAGAGCATCGTCGCTGTAGGAGCCTCTCGTGGTGACCCTCGCACCCCCATCTTTGAGGGGTGCTCTCCTTCCCCCCTGCTGCCCTCTGTTGCCTCTGCTGCTGCTGCCGACCTGCTTGGTCTTGAGTCGGTCTGCGCGGCGTCTGCCCCTAGCGGGAGACGCCGCCCTGGCAGGGGCAAGGGGGGCAAGGGCGCGGGTGGAGCTGGCGGGGGCGGTAGAGGAGGCGGTGGAGGCGGAGGAGGGAGTGGGGGTGACGGTTGGAGTGGTGGCGGGGGCGGTGGTGGCGGTGGCAGCAGCGGAGGAGGAGGCGGTGGTGGCGGCATCGGTGGGAGCGGAGGCAGCGGTGGTGGTGGAGGTGGAGGCAGCGGTGGCGGAGGGGGTGGAGCTGGTCGGGGTGGTGCCCCGCAGCGTAGCGGCCCTAGTGGTGGCCAGCGTCAGCAGCAGCAGCAGCAGCAGCAGCAGCAGCAGCGTTCGCGGGACATCCCCCCGCCCCAGCAGCTCCGTGAGTGGTACACGCAGCGTCAGCGGGGTGGGGGTTTTGGTCCGTGCACCTACGTCCTTCGTTCCGGTGACCGCGCGGGTGAGCAGTGTGGGGGTGCGCACCCCACTCAGCGCTGCTTTGGCCGCCTGACGGACGCTTGGCGTCAGCAGTTCCCCGAGGCCAGTGAGATTCCCCGTTGGGGAGAGCTGTCTAGGGCTGGCGTAGCTATCTTTGATCTTGACTTTGATGCTATCCTTGCTGCCATGTATGCTGTGACTATTAGTGAGGAGGGTGACTGTTACCGGTGTTTCCCGCCCGACCCGGGCATTGGTACTGCTACGCTAGGTACTTCTGAGGCTGCTGCTCTAGGTGCCAGTGCGTCTGCACTCTCAGGTACTGGTGAGGCTGCGCTCTCAGGTACTGCGTCGGCTTCGGCCTCCCTCACCTTCACGCTTGACTCAGGGGCTTCTCGCTCCTTCTTTCGAGACCGCACCACACTCACGCCGCTTGGCCGGCCGGTTGCAGTTTCCCTGGCTGACCCCACTGGGGGTCCAGTCCTCTCTCACTTCTCCACTGTCCTCCCGTGTCCGGCTGCCCCCTCGGGCACCTTGTCTGGTCTGTACCTCCCCTCGTTCTCGACGAACTTGGTGAGTGGTGCTGACCTCCAGGATGCGGGGGTTCACCAGTTTACTCCTGCGAGTCAGCGGGTGACCCACTGCTCGGACGCCCGCACAGGCCGACACCTGGCCACGTTCTCGCGTCGGCCGGGGTCGAGTCTCTACACACTGACCACTGCGTCTCCTCCTGTCCCTGCGTCTGGCCAGGTAGCTGCGTCGGGTCAGGTGTTTGCTGCTGCGTCCAGGTCTGGTCCTGAGTCTGCCCCCTGCTCGTGTCGCCGCTTGTCTCACGAGACTCTCCTGTGGCACCACCGTCTTGGCCACCCCTCCTTGCTTCGTCTTCGGGGCATGGCTTCCCGTGTCCTTGTCTCTGGTCTTCCCCGGTCTCTCCCTCCCCTTCCTTCGGGACCCGGACCTTCTTGTGTCCCCTGTGTCGAGGGGCGGCTCCGGGCTGCCCCTCACTCCTCCCAGTTCCCCCCGACAGAGGCTCCACTGCAGACGCTTCACATGGACGTGTGGGGCCCCGCCCGCGTCCGTGGGCAGGGTCACGAGCGCTACTTCCTGCTGGTGGTTGACGACTACTCGCGTTACACCACAGTCTTCCCCTTGCGCAGCAAGGGTGATGTCACTGAGGTGTTGATCGACTGGATCCGCGCAGCTCGTCTCCAGCTCAGGAGGAGCTTCGGCTCGGACTTTCCGGTTCTGCGTCTGCACTCTGACCGAGGTGGAGAGTTCTCCTCTGGCCTTCTGCGAGCCTACTGTCGTGCACGAGGCATCCGCCAGACCTTTACGCTTCCGGACTCTCCACAGCAAAATGGGATTGCTGAGCGCCGCATTGGCATGGTCATGGACGTCGCTCGTACGTCCATGATGCATGCGGCTGCCCCCCATTTTCTGTGGCCGTTTGCGGTTCGGTACGCGGCGCATCAGATCAACCTTCACCCCAGGGTCTCCCGGCCGGAGACCTCCCCAGCTCTGCTGTGGACGGGGAAGGTCGGCGATGCGTCTGCGTTCCGTGTCTGGGGATCTCGGGCGTTTGTCCGCGACTTGTCTGCGGACAAGCTGTCCCCTCGTGCTGCTCCCTGTGTCTTCCTCGGCTTCCCCCCTGACGCTCCAGGGTGGCAGTTCTACCACCCCTCCTCTCGGCGTGTTCTGTCCTCCCAGGACGTCACGTTCGACGAGTCAGTCCCCTTCTACCGCCTCTTCCCCTACCGCACTCCTTCCCTCCCCCCGCCACCGCACTTCCTTGTGCCAGGTCCCCCCCCGGTAGACCCCCTTCCCCCTCAGGGTCCTGCCCCTTCAGGTGTGTCCCAGGTAGACGCAGTCGAGCCGGTCGAGGTTGCTGGTGACTCTGGTCCTGCTGCGGGTGCTGAGCCTGAGGGTGCTGAGTCTGGGGGTGCTGAGCCTGGGGGTACTGCGACTGGGGGTGCTGAGCCTGGGGGTGCGGAGTCTGGGAGTGCTGAGCCTGGGGGTGCTGCGACTGGGGGTGCTGAGCCTGGGGGTGCGGAGTCTGGGGGTGCTGAGCCAGGGGGTGCTGCGTCTGGAGCTGCTGAGCCTGGAGCTGCTGAGCCTGCGGCCACTGGACCTCCCCTTGTGCCGTCTGGCGGTGCGG